ATATGCCTTTTCTAAATCCATAAATGCAATAAAAACTTCCCTACCTTTATCTAAATACTGTTCACATATATGCTTCAATGTAAACACTTGATCTACACATCCCCTACCCACTCTGAAACCTCCTTGCTCGTCCGCAATCCTACATTCTGTACACAAATAACCCACATATAAAAGAGAGAAGCTTACGACGACGTTTCGGTCCGACTTGGACCATTGACAAAGTCACACTGTGTGACTTTGTCAATGGTCCAAGTCCGGACCGAAACGTCGTCGTAAGCTTCTCTCTTTTATGTGCGGGTTATTTGTGTATCGTTCCAGTCACGGTATTGTGCCTTTTTTGTTATCTACATTCTGTCTTACCTCTAATTCTTTCAATTATAACCCTGCCGTAAACTTTTCCTGGTATACTCAGTAAACTTATTCCTCTATAATTTTTACAATCTCTTTTGTCCCCTTTCCCTTTATATAAAGGTACTATACGTGCTCTCCGCCAATCCCTAGGTACCTTCCCCTCTTTCATACATTTATTAAACAAAAGTACCAACCACTCCAACACTATATCATCCCCTGCTTTTAACATTTCTGTCATGATCCCATCAGTCCCAGCTGCTTTACCCCCTTTCATTCTACGTAATGCCTCACGTACCTCCCCCATACTTACATTCTGCTCTTCTTCACTCTTAAAAGATGGTATACCTCCCTGACCAGTGCATGAAATTACCGCCTCTTTTCTTCCTCAACATTTAAAAGTTCCTCAAAATATTCTTGCCATCTACCTAATACCTCCATCTCCCCATCTACTAACTCCCCTACTCTGTTTTTAACTGACAAATCCATACTTTCCCTAGGCTTTCTTAACTTGTTTAACTCACTCCAAATTTTTTTCTTATTTTCATTAAAATTTCTTGACAGTGCCTCTCCCACTCTATCATCTGCTCTCCTTTTGCACTCTCTCACCACTCTCTTCACCTTTCTTTTTCTCTCCATATACTCTGCTCTTCTTATAACACTTCTGCTTTGTAAAAACCTCTCATAAGCTACCTTTTTCTCTTTATCACACCCTTTACTTTCATTCCACCAATCACTCCTCTTTCCTCCTGCCCCCACCCTCCTATAACCACAAACTTCTGCCCCAGATTCTAATACTGCATTTTTAAAACTATTCCAACCCTCTTCAACCCCCCCACTACTCATTTTTGCACTAGTCCACCTTTCTGCCAATAGTCGCTTATATCTCACCCGAACTTCCTTCTCCCTTAGTTTATACACTTTCACCTCCCTCTTACTTATTGTTGCCACCTTCCTCTTTTCCCATCTACCTCTTACTCTAACTGTAGCTACAACTAAATAATGATCCGATATATCAGTTGCCCCTCTATAAACATGTACATCCTGGAGCCTACCCATCAACCTTTTATCCACCAATACATAATCTAACGAACTACTTTCATTACGTGCTACATCATACCTTGTATATTTATTTATCCTCTTTTTCATAAAATATGTATTACTTATTACCAAATCTCATTCTACACATAGCTCAATTAAAGGCTCCCCATTTACATTTACCCCTGGCACCCCAAATTTACCTACTACTCCCTCCACAACATTTTTACCGACTTTAGCATTGAAATCCCCAACCATTACTCTCACACTTGATTCAAAACTCCCCACGCATTCACTCAACATTTCCCAAAATCTCTCTCTCTCCTCTACACTTCTCTCTTCTCCAGGTGCATACACGCTTACTATAACCCACTTTTCACTTCCAATCTTTATTTTACTCCACATAATCCTTTGAATTATACATTTGTAGTCCCTCTTTTCCTGCCATAGCTTATCCTTCAACATTATTGCTACTCCTTCTTTAGCTCTAACTCTATTTGAAACCCCTGACCTAATCCCATTTATTCCTCTCCATTTAAACACTCCCACCCCCTTCAGCTTTGTTTCATGTCTTATGAAAAACAAATAGACTGTAGTGTGGAGGGCCATCATGAAAGCTTGGGTAACTAAGATATAATTTTTTACTGAGTGGGTTCATGAGGTCTTTGCTCCCACTGTCAAAAAGTACCTCATTAAAAAACAGTTGCCACTCAGGGCACTTTTATGCATGGATAATGCTCCTGCTCACCCTCCATAGCTTTCAAAATGAGTTGCTGGAGGAGTTCAGTTTTATAGCTGTGAAGTTCTTGCCTCCCAACACCATTCTTCTCATCCAGGCCATAGACTACCAGGTCATTTCTGACTTCAAGAAACTGCACCAAAGCACTTTTTGAAAGGTGCATTGAAGTCACTTCAGAAACAATTTATTTATTTATTTATTTTATTTATTTATTTATTTATGTCTTTGCAAATAGTACATTGAGATTTTGTATTTACAATAATGGGTTGCAATGCAAAGAGAGCTTCTATTATGCCTAGGCATTATGGGCCGACTTAACATTGTTGACTTACAGACTACTTAACAATATATTATTATATATTATTATATTATATTGTTGGAGTGTGAGCAAAGTAACATTTATGAAGGGATTCAGGGAAACCGGCAGGCTGGACTTGAGTCCTGGAGATGGGACGTACAGTGCCTGCACTCTGAAGGAGGGGTGTTAATGTTGCAGTTTAAAAACTGTAGTGTAAAGCACCCTTCTGGCAAGACAGTGATGGAGTGAATGATGGTGAAAGTTTTTCTTTTTCGGGCCACCCTGCCTTGGTGGGAATCGGCCAGTGTGATAATAAAAAAAAATTGTCATTTGGGGTCTGGAACAGATTAATTCTGTTTACATTATTCTGTGGGAAAAATTGCTTTGATTGTCATGGATTTTGATTGTTGAATCAACATCTGAAATGGATTAACTCAAAAACTGAGGTTCCACTGTATGTATATTGAAACTTCAAACTGAGTGTACGTACATTGAAAACTCTTAACACTGCTCGAAAAGCGTTTGTATTCTAGTGGCTTTCTTTTGTGCCTAACAATACAGTGGAACCTCGGTTTTTTATTGCCCTGATTTTTATTGAATTCAGTTTTCGACAATTTTTTTAACCAAAATTTTGTTCGTTTTCGTTCATCACCTGTTTTCGTCAGTCCGCCATACCAAACGTGAGTGAGTTGCAAAGTTTTGTGCAGAAATATCACCCTAACAAAGCTGTTGCAAGCCATGTCTGCAACATGTTCAATGACAATACCTTGTCCCATTTTAGGCAAATCTTAGAGATGCCAGAAAGACCTCTCTGGACAGATTTTTTGTGCAGCAGGTCCAGTGCCAGTAAAAGGGAAGTAACCCCGGATAGGGACTTGATACCTGCAGTCCTTATGGAGGGGGATTCCCCTTCCAACCAACAACCTCTCCTACTCCCTCTCCCCTCCTCCCTCTCCCCTCCTTGCATCTTCCAAAAGCCAACAAGAGTCTTCAGTAAAGGTAAAAGTGATATTGAATGTTCATTTATCCATTTCATTAGTCCTTTATATTTATTTCTCATTGTTTTCTGTATGTAAAACTATAGTTACTCTATAAAATGTATTTTTTGTTAATACTTTTGGGTGTCTGGAATGGATTAATTGCATTTATGTACATTATTTCTTATGGGAAATATTGCTTCAGTTACCATCAAATTCAGTTTTTGTCAATCTTTCTGGAACAAATTAATGATGAAAACCAAGGTTCCACTGTATTTTATTACACTAACTAACATCTATGTACAGCAGAAGTAAAAGAAAAATTTGAATTTGAATGTATACATTGAAAACAATGCAAGCTGAGTGTATAATGAGAACACTGAAGTTGGAGTGTATATTGATAATACATACTCAGTCTGTAGTGTATTAAGAACTGGATAAACCTGGTACATAGCAGAGCAGAGCAGGTGCTGCACAACTAAACATTAAGATTGACAGCACTCTAATTGCCAGACATAATGAGGGCAAATCCCTAGGCCTATACCTCGACAACAACCTGAATTTCAGCATCCATATCCAACACATATCAAAAAAAGTATCCAAAACAGTTGGGATCCTCTCCAAGATACGATACTACGTGCCACAAAATGCCCTTCTCACACTATACCATTCACTCATTTATCTATACCTCACCTATGCTATTTGTGCTTGGGGTTCAACTGCAGCAACACACCTAAAGCCAATAATAACTCAACAAAAAGCCACAGTAGGAATAATCATTAAATCCCATCCCTGGCAACACACCCCCCCCCACTCTTAATAGATCTAAACTTACTCCCTGTTCAGAACATCCACACTTACTACTGTGCAATCTACATATACAGGACCTTAAATTCCAATATTAACCTTGACCTAAAATGCTTTCTTGATAGTTGTGACAGGACCCACAAGCATAACACCAGACACAAACATCTCTACGACATTCCCCGTGTCCGACTAAATCTATACAAAAATTCAATGTATGTCAAAGGCCCTAAAATCTGGAACACCCTACCTGAAAACTCTAGAACTGCAGACACATTCATCACCTTCAATACTACCGTTAGAAAATGTCTTATCTCCCTGATACACCCTGTCAACTAACTACATAAAAACCAACTGGTGGTTCACCCTTAAACTCACTCACCCATTTGACTATAAGCACAGAAATACGTATCTTAATCTTAAAATAATGATTCCTAACTAGTCACAAGTTTGCCTGTGATACTCCAATATAGAAACTAGGTATTGTGCCAAAACAAAAGCATTCACATTGCTAAACTCACAAGTATTTAATCACTTAGTATTTAGTCAACTTACTCCAGAATTTGTAATAATTTAGGGTTAAGAATTAATCTAAGTTTGCCCGAAATGCCTAGCCTTGCTAGGTGTTCTAGTGGCCCCCTCTGTAATTAGTATTTTATTACATGTTAACCACACAATAACCAAAATCTGTAAACCCCGCATTGTAATCCTTATAGAGAATAAACTTTGATTTGATTTGATAAATGAAAAAAACAGCAAAAGTTGTTTTATATCAGGGAAAAATTAAATAATGCACTTATAAAACATTATTTTATTGCTAAGATGTCAGTACAGTTCATCAGCTGGTTTCAGTAGTAGTGCCAGTAATAAATACATTGGAAGAATACTTGATCACTGATACTGAACAAGTACAATTCAGTATATACAAAAATAGATTGCACTCAAGTCAAGTACAGTATATGCAGTCTTCTAATCAATTTATATATATATACATGTATATATATATATACACACACACACACACAACAAATACTGTATATCCTACTTCTACATAAATATGCTACTATTTAGTTTTGGTCTCTTTAAGGAAGCACCTGTTATATGAAATATGATAAAAGCATTGCCTGGAAAAGCATGTCCGACACAGTACAGTATGTATATCAAAACAAAACAATTTGTGAATCCACAGACTATATGGATCATCTGTATAGGAACTTTCTAACTAAATTTTTAAAGTGATTAAGAGTACAGTAATATTAAATGATATGCATTTGGAAATATAACAAATATGTGTAGCATATTACTTTTCACATGATACATATCACATGCAGCTTCTTATTTATACTTTTAATTAGCTACAAATTCTAGCATGTTAGCTGACCTGCCCAAGATGGAATGTTACACTTTTATCACAGAAAATATCCAGGGCATGCAGGTGCCAACCCCCCATGAAACTCAGATGTTAGTAGAGGGTCTACTAAGGAAAAATGGAGTATGAGGTTGGTTGGACGATTCACGCATCATCCATGAAACAAAGAGGAACTTTCTGTAAATTCTTAAAACTAGCACTGTCAGTGATCAAACAGTAACATGTACTCATGGTATATGCTTCAACCTTGAATCCTACTACAGCTCTAGAGTATTCAAAAGAAAAATTGGTATTTATAGTAATGGAAATAAAAATCTGGATTCATCATAATCTATCAAGGAAGAACTTATTAGGGCCAGTTAATAAAAATGTGATGACTGTCAGAAAATTAATTCACAATTTTTAGTGCTGTATGCAGTTTAATTATTGTAGTAAATAAAAAGTATGTGTATATACAGTATTTACGGGACAAAATTCTTTTTTTTTTTTTTGTTAAATTGTTTCAACTTCTTTGTTATTTTATTTAATACAGCACTGTACAAGAGTTCAGCCTTTTCTCCTAGTCAGAGTTGATATTTCACTGTGACAAAGACAATTCAATGAATGATTGTTATACGAGCTTTCAACAGTAATTATCAGACTATGCATTGTAGTGTGTACTTGGTAGGTTCCTGTTTTCTGTTTGCATCTCAAAAACTTTTAGAACCTCTTTGCAATGTTTGATATACAGTAGGGCCCCACTTATTCAGCAGATTAGGTTCCAGGCTACCGCTGGAAAGTGGACATTGCCAGAAAGCAGAACACCATTTTTTCCACTTATAAATGCATACAAATCAAAGACAGCAAGTTTACAATAACATATATATTAAGCTAACAGTAGAACTAGGCATTAAAAAACAATAAAAATTCAAATACATACACAGTACATTCATTACATACCTTAAAATATTTGTCGTCTTAGTGTAGGGCAAGAGGTGAGTAATACTTATTTGTAGGAAGTCAGGTGTAGGTAGCCCTGGCTCCCCATCCCAAACTTAATATATGATATTTAAAGCAGCCCAGAGAGATAAAATACACATACAGTACACTCATTATTTACCTTAAAATATGTGTAGTCTTAATGTAGGATGAGAGGTGAGTAGTATTTACAGTATTTGTAGGAAGTCAGGTGGAGGTAGCCGGTAGATTTAGCTATGTTGTCCACCTGGGCTACATAGCTACACCTACTTGCATAGCTATACGATATGTAATGCAGCCCAGAGCCACATTATTACCATCGACATAGTGATACCTCGCATATCCGGCCTGCCATTATCTGAATCTCGCCAATATCCAAACAGCCATTTGGATACGGCAGAAGGTTGAATCAAACTTAGCATGCACTTTAGTATACCGGTTGGCCACTAGGAGCTGCACTCTTCGCATAATGATGGTGCAGTCTAGAATGAATTTGTGGCCTTTGTGGGGGTTCCATTCCTCCTTTTAGAATTAATGCAGCTGTGTTTTGTCCTGGCTATCTTGTGTATGGCACCAAAGAGGGCCAGGAATGTGCTTATTCTAGAAAAAAAAAAAAGGGAAATATTGTCGCACATGGATGCAGGTTGGTCCAAGGCTGGGGAAAAAACTACAGAAGACAAAGTGCAGGACTGGCTAGTGTGTGACAAAAATGACCTTGGTGTGCAATCTCTGATGGATGCAGAGATTGTAGAATCAGTGTTGCACCTGGAACATTCCGAAAGTAACGACGATGACAACCCAGTGCCTCCAAGACCATAAACTTCAGCAGCAAGGACAGGTGTTGAAACACTTTCGAATATTTGGAGCATCCACTGTCTACAGCCCATTTGAAAAGTCATGGTCCTGTGGTCCGTGAAATCCAGGAGACTGTTACTCTAGCTCAGAGTGTTTGATCCCACTGCCAGACGACGGACTCATTTTTTAAACCTACAACTCCATCACCAATGGCGATATGACAGGGTATGAATGATATGACGGTATGAATGATATGATCCCACCGCCAGACGACGTTGGACTCGTTTTTTAAACCTGCAACTCCATCACCAATGGCGATATGACAGGGTATGAATGATATGACGGTACGGATGCGCATTTTTCCCTTCACGTATCCGGAAACTCCATGTTTCCAAACCGGTCTTGGCCCATATAGTTCAAATATGAGAGGTATCACTCTACCTTGTTCACTGAGTTTAATCGTTTCTAACAACTACCTTTAGATGCCATCATAAGTAAAGGGAGAAGTAATGAGAAGAATTCATGGCAAGAATTGTAAACAAAGCAGAATGTGTTAAGGGGAGTGACTGAGAGAAATACAAATTCATACACGTTTTCTTTGGTGCTTGACCAGAGGAAACGTAATGTTTTCCCTCTGCCGGCTACCACACCTCATATTTATGTGAAATTTATTGTACTGTGGGTGTATGTATCATGTTTATATGCTATGTAACGTGTTTCTTACATAATTTTGAAGAAAATATCATAGATGGATTAATGAAAATATCTATATTAACTGTTATGCATTGATATATTGTATATGGGATATGTTGTATATCTTTACATACTATATGTATATGCTTCTAAACTGTTGTGTTCTGGGCACCTCTGCAAAAACAGTGATTATGTATGAGCGAGGTGAAAGTATTTAATGATGAAAGTATTTTCTTTTTGGCTCACACTGCCTCGGTGGGAGATAGCCAACTTGTTAAAAAAAAAAAAAATCTATAACACAAAATAAGACATTTAATGTACCCAAGAGTGAATATTATTACATATTAGTATTATTACTATGGCTTTCAGACTAGAGGGATGTGTACCTGCATGCCAGCACAGTGTGCAAGTTTATTTAGGTACAGGTACACATAAGTATAATTATCAGGGTACATATAAAATATGCAGTAACTTTAAAACCCTTTAAATTTTGGAAAGTTTCCAGACATAATGGAGACGTACTCACGGAGAATGTAAACAAACCAGGTGGGCACTGTGACAGTATTAGAAAGACAGGGGGGAGCTGTATGAAGAGTTTTGGTCGTAATTTTAAATATCCAAATTAGCAGAACCCCGTAAAACAAAACACCGTAAAGTGGAGCCCTACTGTACTGGCATTGTGGTATGTTATATTTTAATAATTTTTATTAGTAGATGACAATTTAACAATCATCATAAGATATACAGCCTCTCTCATTTAGTGATGACTCAGACTTGCAACGGGCTCTCTGACCAGTATGCATACTTAAATAATTTATATTACAGCGGATTTCTTTTATTCTGTTTATTACACCAGTACACTACTTTATAAACATTTAAAAATATTCTAAAAAATTTTATATGTGGTGCAAAGGTAACATTAAAACAATATGAAAAAGATGGTTGACACAAACCCACTACCATTATAGTATGTTCCCCACTTAACGATGAGTTCGTTTACCGACGTGGTCTTAGGAACGGAACTCCATTGTTAAGTGAGGAGAGGCTGTACAATGTATAGATAAATTTTCTGAAAACAATATGTGAGAAATTGACTTACAATTTAGGAGGATGGGTTGAAGAATTAAGTATTGTTCTCAATATTTGTATTGATATTGACATTATGACATTTCACATTACTTGCATACATTCATAGGAATCCTACACATTAAGTCATCAATTCTGACTCGCGAAATCGTAATGGCATGATTGCAAGTAAACCATACCATGGGTGGGTATGGTTTTACAGTAGAACAGTTAAGTACAAAATATTGCAGTTTGACTATTTTCTATAAAAAGAAAGTTATAAAAATGGAAAGCACATTAGATAACGTGTAATCAGTGATGGGAAAGAAAAGATTTTGGCTAGCCAAACACTAGTAGAATGCATGCTGTCTTAATAGAATAACAAAATACCACAGTGAGAATAGTACGATATAGTATTATTATAATTAAAAAGAAGCGCCAAACCTACCAGGGTCATACAGCGCTGCAGAGTAGTAATTGATGCAGGATCTAAGGATAAATAAGGGTGGAGATGATAATAAAAGTAAAGTTAGGACGGGTTGTGAGGAGTGCTAAAGGAAGGATTATCAAAATTTATGTAGTAGATCTGCTGTCAAAAAGTCGAAGAGGGAGTCTGTCAAAGGTAGGTTAGTAAATCCTTCAGCCAATGCCAAAAGATATGAGTGGTACAGTACATCCTGCTCTATATATGGTGAATCTTTATTACTGAATTTGTTGACTCAGCATAGACATCTGTATGCTGGTACATTTTACTAATAATTAACATATTGTAATATAAGAGATTCCAGACAACCCAAAATGTACCAGGAACTATTAGTCACAACCAACTGTTGTGTTCACATATCTGAGATCTATTCATACTTAAAATTTGTAAGAATCACTATACCCAGTCCTTCCAGTATTATTATGACATCTGATACCAGTGAAGATATGGAGTAAATTTGAGGTAATACAATTACATCTATGAAGTATTATAATTGTTAATGTTATATATGCTTAATTTTTGATCACAGATAAACTATCAGCCAAGTAGTGAACAATTTGCTAAATTTCCAGCAGATGGTTTTATATTTCCTAGCAAGTTTCTTATGACTATGATTCATCAAGAAAATCATTGTTTTTATAGGAATGTAATATTTTTAAATTATCTTTCATCTTACAACCTATATTTCCATGAAGGCAGAGATTACAGGTACTGTAACTTTTTCTTTCACTTTTTCACAGCCAACTTTTTGCACATGGTAACAAATGTTTTATAGAATGAATAATTCACAATAATTGTGTATATACTGAGGTATGTACACCTTTAGCCCTTTGTGTGCTGGCATTGCGGCATGAAACTGGTAATGACTTTTAGAACATGCACAAGATGTTCTCTGGAACACATCCCTAACTGACTAGGCTACTATTATCAGAAATAGACAGTAAGGTTAGGTGTGTCTGAAATTGATGACTGTGGCATTGGTGTCACACTGACTTCAGGATCCAACTCCGTCTGGAAAAAAAAAATAATTTAAACATTAATTTTGCATGCCATCCTTTATGAACAGGGATGCTACAATATATTGTAATTATATTTTCTAATGGAAAATTAATAACTGGAAGTTATTCAGTTACCGAAATTCGTATACAACAAATTAAAGAAGCCAAACGTGTAAAAATCAGCAGACTTGGTATGTTGTGGATACTCTAGTTAAGAAAAAGTAATGGCCTCTCCGCCATTAATGGGACTATGTAGAACTACACGAGTTAGGTTTTAATACTGATTCGTCTTTCTATCAAAGAAATAATGAACATTTATTAACTTTGTATTTAATAGTCCAACATATGGAGTGCAGAATTTGTTCATATTATAATAGTCACATAATACCAGGACCAGAGGAAATACTTGTAAATTTAATTAAAAAAAAATTTTTCGTGTGAATTTATACAATAATATCATTTCAAGGTTTTAATAATTCTAAATAAAATTAATGTAATTCTTTTACCTTATTACTTAATTCATCTTCCCAAGATAACTTCTTTACTCTTTTAGGAATTGAGCCATGTGGCCAGGCAACCTTAGCGGACATTGGACCAGACGAAGTAGAGTGAGGAGATCCAGGTGAGGACTCTGTGTCAGGATATGGTGTGTTGGCTGGAGCTGGTGGTGTGGGAGCAGGACTCACTCGGTTCTTCACTGGGAGGCCACCCACAGCCCTAGCTGATCCCCCAGGTGATGTACTGCAATTTTTTTATGAGTATGGTATATAATCTTCACTGCTCATATTATAATTAATCACATGATAGGCTATATAGTACTGAGATGCACATTGATAATTATGGCTGTCAGTAATCACAGTGAAAAGACAGCTGTTTAAACCTGATTATAGAAATGCATTAATTTTGTGAAGATTGTTGTACCATAGAGGAATAAGTATGAACACATGTATGTATTCATTATGTCAGGGATATACAAACGTTTGTATATATTACTGGATAAATGGGGATATTGTAGCTGGAAGGGTCATTTGAACTGTGATGTTGGCACACTTTGGTAATACAGCTATTAAAAGTAATGATGAATGTTTTTCTCCCTTTGGGTCACCCTGTTTGGTGGGAAATAGTTACAATAAAAAAAAAAAGTCATCATGTTGAAAAAACTAGTCTAGCTTACCTTTTATACTTGGCCCCAATACTGTGCCCACTACCAGCTCTTGCACTGTGGTTCAAAGCACTTCTTGGTGCAATGATTCCTCCTAAAGCTCTGCAAAAAAAAAAAAATTATAATATGACTATCTAAATTCTACATAATTTTGTTCATATTTTTCAGAACAAATATAAATTGTTTTAACAGGATTAGAGTTACCAGTTTTGTTTAAAACACTACTGGTACAGTAGCTGTTTTATAAGGAAGATGGATGCATATGTTCTCGCACTTTCTAAGGGAAATAATAGCATTAGTGATAATTTTGTCAAATGCTTGTACATTTCTATATAACTTTCAATGTTATATAGATACAAATGGTTCAGGGGATTGGATCATGGGTACTTTTCATTAAGAAAGTTACAACAGTAGAGTATTAGTAATAGGTAAGGTAAGAGTACAGTGGACCCCCAGTTAACGATATTTTTTCACTCCAGAAGTATGTTCAGGTGCCAGTACTGACCGAATTTGTTCCCATAAGAAATATTGTGAAGTAGATTAGTCCATTTCAGACTCCCAAACATACACGTACAAATGCACTTACATAAATACACTTACATAATTGGTCGCATTCGGAGGTAATCGTTATGCGGGGGTCCACTGTATTTGGCTAGATTTTTTGATAATGTCATTATGGATGAAATTATTAATTCTTTCCAGAACATATGCAAGAATGTTGTCTAAAGTATGTAGTAGATTCAGCAGTGTTGTCTAAGTTATTGTTATTGTGTTTTTTTTGCATTGACATATAGTATTTAAGATGCTGGGTACGAGATCAGTTCTGATAGCATAGTTCATATTTGATTAGAGTAAATCTGGGCAGCAGGAACAACCAAGAATGTGTTGTGGTAGATGCATCCTCGATGTGACTGTCTGCATAATAGATGAAATGACTGGTCAATTTGTTGTTTCAAGCCTTCAGAGTATTTCTATACGTATTTTTATTACTAGACAGTGAATAAGCAGTCTAGAGTTATACTACAATGAAATCCCTCAATCCTGTTTAAGCACAGCTCCCTCAAATATACTGTGAGTGGTTTCTAGAGTGTTTCATATACTTTTACTGGCCACTTCTTGGTATCACTTGACAAAATGGAAAATATATTAATGAAATAGAGATTATTTTGGTCATTTTCAGACTGGAAGTAGCCTGAAATAGGGCTCAAAGTGGTGGAAATACTGTAAACCCTCCATATAACAAACTTCAGAAATACGGAATGAAATCCAGTAATTCAATTTGGAAACAATGTACGAAGTCCATTGGTTACAAAATTGTTCCTTGTTGTTACAATCACAGCTAAACAATATCTTCTCTGTTCACCATAACTGCCATTACCAGCCATCCACTACCCCCAACTAGTCTATTATAGAGGGTTTACTGTATTCAACGTTTGGTGATTTTTCCCGACAAAGAGCAAGACATCCCCTCTGGTCTATTTTATGGGCTTTTACTAGTTCTGTTTTAATTATTAGGATTAGCCTAAAAATTACCAGTCATTCTTGCTTATATTTTAATACCCAAGAAATAAAGTAAAACTTCAGTTTTTTGTATGATGGATTGAAAATAGAGAGGAAGTGTTATATAGGAAAGACCTGGGAACATTATTAATGAACAGAAGGGTTGCATTAGTGGCTAGAATGCCTACAGTGTTTATTTTGGACTCTTTTTAATTAGAATTTTTTAATTTTGTAAAACTGGCCAAATTATGGGCTTCTGTGCACATTATAGACAATTCTGATAGCTGGAGGTGATTTCTCGTACTTAATCAATAGAAAAGTGTACAGTGGAACCTTGGTATGCGACCATAATTCATTCCAGAAGGCTGTTCGAGTGCCACTCGGTTTGTGTATCGAACAAGTTCTTCCCAACCAACTTTCTGTTTAGTTGGCTGTTATCACTAATCGTCGTAGGCCCCATGGTGATTTATTTATACAATACAAAAAAAAAATGCAAAGAAACATGAAATAGTTTACAACGAAGTTCTGGCAGGTCGTATTTGTTTGGTAAACTGCTGAGCTTTGGTAGAGTAGGGAGCTGGTCATATACCGAGGTTCCACTGTACTAGCAAAATAGCTAGGAATTGGGTCAAAATGAGCATTGGAATTGAGTTCAAATAGGAATCAAGTGGGCCAAATTAACAATGTATAAATTACACCAACTACCAACTTTGTGCCTGTGTAATTCCACAAGTTTTCCCACTTTTGGCATCAGTACTCTCAGAAAAAGATACTCTTCCATTTCAGAATTATTATTACATTCGTGGGAGGATTATTATTATTATAATAAAAAAGAAGCGCTAAGCCACAAGGGCTATACAGCGCTGCAGGGTAGGAAGGAAGCAAGGGTATCAGGTGGCAAAAGGGAGATAGATGAGTAATAGGTTACGGAGAACAGCGGGGCAGTGGATGGTGAAAGGGTAGAGGGCAGCAAAAGATTGAGGTATAAAGGGCTGTGGGGAGTGCAAAAGGAATCATCATCAGAGTTTGTGGAGTAAATCAGTTGTTGTTAAGAAGTCAATGAGAGAGTCAGGATTAAAGGAGGGTCCATCAGCAAGAAGGGAAGGTAAAGAGAGAGTAGTAGAGCGGAGACGACGTTGGAGGTAAATTCTGCATGCTCGTTGATAGAGAGGGCAGTCTGACAGAATGTGGCTAATCGATACTGGAACTTGACACTGCTCACAGAGAGGAACAGATGCCTCTCCATGAGATACCCATGAGTAAGATGAGTGTGGCCAATGCGAAGGCGGGAGAGAGTAGTCTCCCAATCTCGGCACTGATGACAAGAAGACGGCCAGTAACCTATGCTCGGTTTAATAGAATGAAGTTTGTTACCAAGGAGAGTTGACCAATGTTGTTGCCAACGGGTGTGAAGGTGGGTAGCTATTACAGCAAAATAGTCCAGAAATGGAACACCTCTATATGAAATTGGTAGGTCATGTACTGCTGACTGCGCAGCAGTGTCTGCCTGTTCATTGCCCTATACGTCGACATGACCAGGGACCCAACAAAAAACAATATCTTTATGCTTGGTAGAGATACGGCGTAGCCAAAGTTGGATACGGAGAACTAGGAGGTGAGGTGTATCAAATTTTCGTATAGCCTGTAGAGCACTAAGGGAGTCTGAGACTACCACAAATGATGACACAGGCATAGATGCGATACGAATAAGTGCTGCAAGAATGGCATACAATTCAGCAGTAAAAATGCTAGCTGAAGATAGTAAATGCCCTCGCACGACGCTGTCCGGAAACACTGCTGCGAATCCGACGCCGTCTGAAGACTTAGAGCCATCTGTGTACACAGCGATGGCATGAGAATGAGAGTGGAAGTGATCAAGAAAAAGATAGCGGGAAGCCACCGTAGGCAGTTGGGCTTTCGAGCAAGGGAGTGAGAAAGAACAGACCCGAACAGCTGGAACTTCCCAGGGGGGTAGGGAAAAGTGAGATGCTACATGAACATATAAAGGTGGTAACTGAAGAGAAGACAAGAGCGAATGTAGGCAAAGAGAAAAGGGACAGAGCAAACAGGGGCGGCGAACAAATAAAGAATGGCTACTAATATTGGTGACCATTCTATAAATGGAAGGATTGCGGAGATCGTGAGAGAGTACATAGTAGCGAAGGGAATGGGCATCACGGCGCTCAGACAAGGATGGAACATTCGCTTCTGCATAGAGGCTCTCAACTGGGGAAGAGCGTAAAGCACCAAGGCATAAACGTAATCCTTTGTGATGGATGGGGTTAAGGCTAGAGAGAGTAGCAGGAGAGGCCGCTGAATAAATCTGGTCACCATAGTCAAAGGAGAGCGGAGGTGAGACAAATCGAAGGAGTCAGTCGAAGCCCCGGTACCTGAAGCGGGTGAGGAAACAGCACCAGCAAGAGGTACAGGGGCATCAGGAGTGTCCGAAGAGTGGTCAAAAAACAAGGCAGGGTCAGAATGGGGTGCGGTATCAAGAAGGGGCCCGGAGGTAGTGGGTTCATGGACTGGGTTTTTCATGGTTAGGTTACTCCTTTGCTTTTTGTTTTTAAGAAAAAAAAAGAAAAAAGAAAAAAAAGAAGAATAAAAAAGGGGGGAGCGGGGAGGAATAGTTCCCAGGAGGAATGAAAGGGCCGGAAATCTCCCTCCGCGCCCAAGAGGACCTCAGCACTGCTAGTAGCGCAGATGCAGCATGGAACCCATGCCATACCCTACCCTTCATGCCAGTAAACCAGTAATCCGGGATAGCAACCTCACATCTGCCGAGCTACCTCGGTGGACAAAAGAGAGGGCGGCCAGATATCCGCCACAAAGCATACCTCCTTCGGCCACCGCCAAGAATCTCAACGGAATGGGATGGACCCTGGTACCCTTTTCCCTACCTAGGAACTAGCGCTCCTGTTGGAAAAATACCAAAGGCCAAAAAGAGGAAGGGCAAAAGGGAGGGGTGGGGAGATTGGGGGGTAATTAGGTTCGGTCTGCGGAAGGAGACCGACGTCTAATTCCTCAGACCAAGAGCCTCTTCACCATGCCAAGGAGCCCCCCTTAAAGAGGATTCATGGGAGGAGCACCAAACCCATCAGAGTCATACAGACCATTTTAACTTATCAACTTTACCATGTTTCTGAAAGCTAATATTGTGAGGTAATCTACAGAAGATGTACACATGACTGTTTTTTTATAATTTTGACATACCAATATCTGGCTTCTTACAAAATCCAGCAAGTGGAATTCTTTAACAAATTATTCCAGTGCTCCTTGATATGCAATAAAATTTTCTAGACCTTATAGTCTTGTGTAGGAGAGAGAAAAGTGATATTGTAGAAACTTTTGATTGAAACAAGTTAATCCAAATTAAGCTGACAGATAATACAATAATTATATAAAATGCCTTATGTATATTTATGTCAAGTATACTAGTCTACATGTTAAGCTGTTGTATAATAAATGTATGCCAAAGATCTTTTTTTCCCCTTTGGCCTAAAATGAAGCTTTCCAGTAGTTTATATCACCTAAAAAAAAGCCTTGTGTATGTAAGCAGTTGACACCACTGCCTCACCTGATATTATGACCTGGTGGCTCTGGTGTGCCACTTAGTGAGATAGTGGAGGTTGTGGTGGAGGACCTCACAGTGCCATTAAGGGAAAGCCCATCACCAGGAGTCCCACTTGGAGGCACTGCTGGAGGGGGAGGGTTCATACTTGAATTAACAGGAAATGATCCACTCGCTAAAGGGTTTTTGAGGTACCGACGGCTGCCCTGAGTACAACCTCCAAGAATACCTGAGCGAACTGAAACTAAGATGGGCATAATTTTAAGTATTTTATTAAATAGCAAACCTATGTGATACCTCAATAAGATATTATTTTCATAAAAGGTATTGTTTCTGAGTAGTTGTAGTAATTACTCTGCAGTGTACACTATGTTATAAATGATATAATAACTAAGATTAATAATTCCTTAATTTATCTCTTATTTGCACTTTACATTTACTAAAACAATGCACTGCTAAAATTGGTACAGTACTTTTGAGCACGTTTAAAAAAATCTGACTGGAAAAAGAGGCTCAGTAAGTCTGCTGCATGGGGGAGGGGACACATCCAGCAGAATCATCATTGCAGCGGACAAATCCATTGCATCATACGTCTGTCCATATGAGAGGTGTTCAGTAGTACCAACAATGAAGTAGAATAAATCTGCTTTATTGCAGGTTTGTCTAGTATGGTCTGCATCCAGCATTTATCCATTTTCATTGAGCCAGTGGCTCAACTCACATCAGTTTGTTGTCATCTACAAGCACTCGCCTTCTGTCATTATTAGGTTTCCTTTTTTTCCTTGATTTTCAGGGGTTTATCTTTATTTCAATAAAAAATAGTGTTATTAGTAATGACCTTTAAAACAAGTGATGATGCCAAGAGAGAAGCATGTAAATCTGAGTGTTAAGCAGACACAAGCTAATAAGGAAAGTGGAGTCTGGAATCTCCTCAACCATCTATGTTTATTGAACCATTTATGTCTCCCACACTATCAACATCTACTGCACCATCCATCTGTAAGGGTCCTACACCATCTGCAATGTTATTGCTGGAGCCTACAGCTTCTCTGGTACTCAATAAAATTTATGCTGAGTAACCACCAGAAAAATTACTGTACTTATAAATCTCTTATTTTCAGGTATGTACTATAATTTAATATTGTACTGTACTAGCTTATTCTTAGCATGTCTGTTAGTACCATCAATGCAGTAAACTAATTCTACAGCATTGGTCATCTGTCCATCTCTGGCAGTATCTACACCCACTATGGACACCCCCTTACCCTTATTAATCTGTTAAACTAATGTACGTATTACTATTCACTGTATCACTTGGGTGATAATTCAAATTACTTACTGTTGCTGGTTCTAATGCTTCCATTATTATAGTTATTTGTGGTGTGAGTATTGTTATTATCAGAGGATGAGAGTTCAGTCCCCATAAGGCCGTTGGAAGATATCGGATTGCCTAGTGGGGTCATCTGTCGGCCATTACCCTGCAACTGATCAAATGAAATAGGTTCAATAAATAAGATTATTTGTTACATGATGAATGATACAGACTTTTTGGTGACTACACAATATACTAACAGGAGAAAAATATAATACAGTAGGACCCCCGGTATCCGCAGTTTACCATGGCCTGAAAATAACCCTTAACTTTACTTAATAATGGCCTCAAAGTGCAAAAGTAGTGATGGTAGAAGTTCTTCAAAGCCTAAGAGAAGCTATGAAGTGCTTCCCATAAGTGAAAAAAAAATTCTTCACTTACTGAGCATAATTTATCAATTAAACTTTATAATAGGCATGTATAGGACTTTTATATAGGGTTCACAGCTATCCGCAGTTTTGGTATCCTTGGCAGGTCCTTGGAATGTATCCCCTGTGGATACGGGTCCTACTGTACTTTGTAAATACAGTACCTACAAAGTGGTGAGCTGTTGAAGTGATTTGAGCATAAGAAGAGAATTAAGAAAAAACAGGATGACCATGAGGGTGTATAAATCCAAAGTGGAGGAAGGAGGGGGCAGAGGTCATCCAAGAAGGATTAGATGTAAAGTGTGAAGGAGATTTTTAGTAGTATGGGCTTGAGCATCCAGCATGTGTGAGCGTGTTGGAGCAGAGTAGGTGGAGACAAGGAGTTTTAAGGATCTGGTATGTTGTTGGAATGTGGACAAGATAACATTCATAACTGGAATCAGAGGAAACTGGCTAGCTGTATTTGAGTCCTGACGAAAAACTGGTAAGCTATATTTGAGTCCTGGGGTGAGGATATTTCAGTTCAGAGGGTCATTTGAATTGTGAATGTTTCCTTTTTTGGGAGACAGCAAATATGGTAAAAAAAAAAATGTATAAATGCTGAATTGTTTACCATATAAAGGTTTAGATTTAATAAAAGTTCAAACATTTGATAAGTCCAATACAGTATTCTTTATATGTCAAAAGATGTGAAAATATACAGTATATTTTAAAATAAATACACTTATAAAAATAATTTGATAGTTAAAACTTTACCTGGTTATTTAGTGGAGAGAGTGGATCCAATTTGGTATGAGGGATGTTGTTGGATGTAATTTTGATTCATCTTGGTGGGTAATGCAGCATCGGTTTATCATCGCGACACTTCTTACTGTCATAAAAAGTAAAGAAACATTACCTCAATCGTATACTAATGGTTAAAAACTAGGGGATAATAAATGATATTTATATAATAGTGATATCCTCATGCTCACTGACTCACCCTATGGACAGACACACACAGTGAGCACATGCATACATTTTTTTTAACACATTGGCTATTTTCCACCAAGGCAGGGTGACCCAAAAAAAAGAAAAAACCCAAAAAGAAAGAAAAAACTTTCATCATCATTCAATACTTTAAACCATCACTTATACATAATCACTGTCTTTGCAGAGGCACTCAGATACAACAGTTTAGATGTCCCTCCAACCTGCCAATATCCCAAACCCCCCCCCCCCCCCCTTTAAATGGTAGGCACTGTACTTCCCATTTCCAGGACTCAAGTCTGGCAAACCAGTTTCCCTGAATCCCTTCACAAAATATTACCCTGCTGACACTCCTCCCAGTGTTTAAAGAGTAAATTAAGTGACTTATAGTTTTACCATTACTTTAATACTACAAGTCACAAGCCTGTATGAAGAACAGTCAATGTATTGCATTTATCTCCAATTGTGTTTAATGTTTGATTCAAGAGTATCATAGGTTCTTGAAGTGTTTAAGTGAAAAGTCAAGATATTTGCTCCTTTAAGGAACCAACCTTTTCTCCAGGTTGAGAAACTGACTACCTCAAAACTGCAGTTGCTAACAGGAAGCAACACAAGATGAGTGCTCTAATATTCCCTCAGGTAATAAGTTACAGTGGTGTGAATATCATAATGCACACAGCAAAATCCAACAGCAAGACTCTCCTTAACAAATACAGAAGGTGCAAAACTGCACTTACATGGAGCCTACATTCCTCATTTTTGTTGGCAAAGCAGCTGTGGGACCATCAGGATATTTTTTGCTGTAAGAAGAGCATCTCTGTTATCAGTCAGTATTTGGCATCAATACCAAACAAACAAAATACAGTAAATACTATCTTCTTTGTCCCAAATTTTAAAGCTACAATTTCATGTGCTTCGAAATGTATTTTGTTCAAACCATAATGTCAAGTCAAAAAAATTCCAGCATTACTATTTCACAAACTATCTGTATTCTGAACCGAATAGTAAGATATACAATAAATGATTAAATCTATAAATTTGTTCTGTGGCATTAGACTCTCTAGCCAGATGGAAGCAATACATTTTTCTATCCCAGTGTGTCGTAGGGACTCAAGAATTCACATGTACTAACGTTTGGTTCTTACATTATGAGTGCGCAAGAACAAATAACAATACTGCTGTCTAATCTGCAGTTACAAGGGTTATGTCAGCTTTTAAAACCTTTTGGACTCAGGGCAAAAGTGCCTTGATGCCAATGAGGGACTCTTGATCCAAGGCACTAAATTTATCTTCCCCGTGGATTAAATCTGAATGCTTTCCATTCCCCTTGTGTTATGACCCCAATGGGTTTAGCACTTGCAGAGTAAATAAATTAAGACCTGTGGATTATTTGTTGCCTGCCTATGCTCCTAAGCGTGTAATTTAAATATGGTGTCCAGTGCCATTAATGCACACTTGACCCTTTTAGAGAAAAGGGTGTCTTAAAGCTACCCTTCCCTTTATTGAATTAAGTCTATTACCTCCAGTTGCCCAGCCACTGTATGACCTAGAGTTTAGCACTGTTCATAAGTATATAATTAATGCTTAGTACTCACAGTTGTAGTCAACTGTCTATGTAATATTTTTTTTTTTTCAACAAGTCGGCCGTCTCCCACCGAGGCAGGGTGACCCAAAAAGAAAGAAAATCCCCAAAAAGGAAATACTTTCATCATCATTCAACACTTTCACCTCACTCACACATAATCACTGATTTTGCAGAGGTGCCCAGAATACAAGTTTAGAAGTATTTACATATAAAAATACACAATATATCCCTCCAAACTGCCAATATCCCAGTTATGGACAAAAGTGCCCTTTTAGGATGCTAAGTACAAAAACAATTTCAATTACTTTTTGTGAATGTAGATGGCGAGGCAGATGATTATTAATACAAATATTCCAAGGAGGGCTCCGAAGATGACCATTACCAAGAAGCTGGAGTTGGCTCCAAGTGGAGATGACTGTACCAAACCTGGTGGGAAGGTGATGCTCACGGGTGCTGATGCCTACAAAATAAAGATATGCATGTACAGTTTTTCCTAGGTACATGTAGTAGGTTGGCAGACAGCAACCACCCATGGAGGTATTACCATCTTGCCAAGTGAGTGTAAAACAGAAGCCTGTAATTGTTTTACATGATGGTAGGATTGCTGGCAGCTTTTTTCTGTCTCATAAACATGCAAGATTTCAGGTATGTCTTGTTACTTCTACTTACACTTAGGCCACACTACACATGCATGTACAAGCATATATATATACATACCCCTTTGAGTTTTCTTCGGTTTTCTTACTAGTTTTTGTTTTTGTTTCCTCTTATCTCCATGGGGAAGTAGAACAGAATTCTTCCTCCATAAGCCATGCGTGTTGTAAGAGTCGACTAAAATGCCGGGAGCAAGAGGTTAGTAACCCCTTCTCCTGTACACTTTACTAAAGTTAAAAAGAGAAACTTTTGTTTTTCTTTTTGAGGCACCCTGCCTTGGTGTGAAATGGTCGATTTGTTGAAAGAAGAGGAAACATACAAGATTTCAGATACATCTTGCTACCTCTACTTACACTTAGGTCACACTACACATGCATGTACAAGCATCCTGGACCTGGGTCCAAGAGAACATGTAGGCCAGGGTGAATTACAAAAATTGGATATGCTAAATGTGGAAGACAGAGTAAAACAACTGAAGTTAAATCAAGTTTATAAAATTGCTCACAAACAGTGTCCAGAATATTTTGCTGCCAATTTTGTCAAGGTTGGGAACCAAAGCAATCATAGTACTAGGGGGAGAGAGCACAACTTTGTAGTACCCACAGTCAGTGGCCAGGCTTCAAACATCTTTTATTGTGCAGCAATAAAGGAATGGAACAGACTGCCCGCACATGTCAAAGCCAGTCATAGCATGAACCAGTTCAGGAAGACAGCCAAAAGGTACCTAATGAATGTATCGACAGACAGGGAGGAGAATAATTTTATATTTTTTTTTAGCTAACATACATGTAAATGTAAATAACTCATTTTACTTTATTCCTAGTATATCTCCTTCATAGTATAATAATAGGTATTAAAGGACCCCAATGGAAATAAGTCACTGTCTGACTTTTTTGGGTTATCCCAGGTTCTCTACACATATGCTGCTATGTATGATAATCTATGTAACTGTATTTGTGTATATTTGAATAAACTTACTTACTTACATATATATACACACACCCTTCTGGCTTTTCTTTTGTTTTCTTACTAGTTCTTGTTGTTTATTTCCTCTTATCTCCATGGGGAAGTTGAACAGAATTCTTCCTCCGTAAGCCATGCGTGTCGTAAGAGGCGACTAACATGCCAGAAGTAAGGGGTTAGTAACCCCTTCTCCTGTATATGTTACTAAAGTTAAAAAGAGAAACTTTCATTTTTCTTTTTGAGCCACCCTGTCTCAGTGGGATAAGACTGGTTTGTTGAAAGAAAAGAAAGATGCACAGTTTTTGTTTTTAAAGAAAGGCATCCTCTTCAAGGGGGGCTCCTTGTTGTGGTGAAGATACTCTTGGTCTGAGGAATCAGACCTGTTGGTCTCCTTCCTCAGACCGAACCTAATTACCCCCCCCCCTTCCCTATCCCATCCTCCTCTTTTCCTTTCCTCCTCCTCCTCCCCACCCCTCCCTTTTGCCCTTCTTCTTTTTGGTCTTTGGAATTTTCCCACAGGCACGCTAGTTCCTAGGTAGGGGAAAGGGTACCGGGGTCCAAACCATTCCGTTGAGGTTCTTGGCGGTGGCGTAGTTTGCCGTGGAATCTGGATCGCCTGGGGATGTCCCGATCCCTCTCCGGTATCCCGGAGAGTGGCTTTGGGTGTCTTTCGGGCGACGAGTGTATCTCTGGAAGCCACCTTTCGGATTCCTGGGGTGGTGGCCGAAGGAGGTATGCTTTATGGTGGATATCCGGCCGCCCTCTCTTTTGTCCACTGAGGTAGCTCGGCAGATGTGAGGTTGCTATCCCGGATTGCTGGTTTACTGGCACGGGTTCCATGCTGCATCTGCGCTACTAGTGGTGCTGAGGTAATCTTGGGCACGGAGGGAGATTTCCGGCCCCTTCATTCCTCCTGGGAACTATTCCTCCCCGCTCCCCCCTTTTTTTATTCTTTTTTTTTATTTTTATTTTCTTTTCTTCTTTCTTTTTTTTTCTTAAAAACAAAAAGCAAAGGAGTAACCTAACCATGGAGAACCCAGTCCATGAACCTACTACCCCCGGGCCCCTTCTTGATACCGCACCCCATTCTGACCCTGCCTTGTTTTTTGACCACTCTTCGGACACTCCTGATGCCCCTGTACCTCTTGCTGGTGCTGTTTCCTCACCCGCTTCAGGTACCGGGGCTTCCACTGACTCCTTTGATTTGTCTGACCTCCGCTCTCCTTTGACTATGCTTCCGGCCTCTCCCTCTACGGTACAGCAATTTTCGAATCGCCAGCCCGTTTCACGACGGACCAACTCCGGTCCTACTCCTAAACGCCAACGACAATCTCCTGATGATGTTACTTCGTTACCTTCCCATTCTACTCGGAAAAGACCGACACGTCATGCACTCCCTCTCCATGCTCAGTTTCGGACCACACAATGGACTAAATTCTTTACTTTAAGACCGACTTCTTCTTCTGCTTATCTTTCTGACCATAGTACGTATTGGCAAAGTGCTCCTGCGCCATGTTGGTAGAGATATTTCATTTCATGCTCTCAAGAGCGGTACGCGCATCGTCACTGTCCAGAATGCTACCCAAGCTCATGATCTTTCTCTCCTTTCACATATCAATACTACTCCTATCACTATTGAAAAACATCTTTCTCTCAATTCTTGTAGTGGTACTGTCATTCTGCCTCATACCATAGTCCAACAGAATTTCCAGTCATGTGGCAATGACATTCTTGAACAGCTGGAACTCCAGGATCTCCCAATCCTCAAAGTAGACACTTATGTCCTTCCTGCCCGCGGGCGGAGACAATACCCTTGCAATGTGGCTCGATTAATTTTCGACAGCCGTGAACTCCCGTCCTCTGTTTATGTCGCGGGGCATTGGTTACAAGTTCGAAAGGTGATCCCTACACCGCAACAGTGTAGAAATTGCTGGCGTTTTGGTCACCCAGCGAAATATTACAGATCTATAGCCAAATGCCCAGTCTGTGGTGCCAACGACCATTCTAATACATCTTGCAGTCAACCTCCATCTTGCCTTAATTGTAACGAGGCTCGCCCTTTGTACTCTCGCCATTGCCAGGTCTACTTAAATGAGCATGAAATCCGTTGCCTCAAAGAGACAGAAGGTCTCCCTTATGCTATGGCAGTTTCTCATCTCCGCCTCCAAGGGAGACTACCCCGTGTTTCTTATTCTCGTGTTTCAAAATGTCCCCCCACTTCTGGGGTCCCAACTTCTGCAGCCTCCTTTGTTGTTACCCCTCCCATAGCCACTCCGGTATCTAATCCTTTTGCTGCCCTGGGCTCTGACGTCCCAACTACAACTCAGTCTGTTCTCACATCTTTGCATCCTTCCTCACAAGCCCCAGTATCGACAAGACCTCGTCCGACACCTTATACCAACAGCCCCTCTACTTCTCAGAAGTCGAAAAACTCCCCATTGCTCAAATCTTCTTTGCCCCCTCCTTCCCTTCTTCCACTTCCGCATTTTACCTTTCCAGTCTGTGTGCCTAGTTCTTCCCCTCTCTCTGGCTCTATTACAAGTGTGGAGGTTCACCCTCTTCCTCGTACTATGCCTTCCACCCCCGTCCCCTCCCAAGTTTCTCCCTCTTCTGCCACCTCCCAGGTTTCTGCCTCTTCTGTCCCCTCCCACACTACTCCAGTCCCCTACACTCTTTCGTCCCCCTCTACTTTGGTACAGTCCATTACTGTCCCAATCTTTACTCACCCTCCTCCTTCTACCTCCAATATTGTCTCCCATACATCTTTGAATTCAGAAACACTTGAAGCCATTTCAGAATATATTGCAGAGACTAAACCTTCAATGGACACTGATCCACCTCCTGTTCCTTCTCTTCCCCCTCCTCCATCTCCATTCTTCGCAACGCTCCGTTCCTTTGCTGCTTGAACGTCTTCTGATGCCACTGCACGTTGATTTTTCTAACCTCTCTAGTCCGTAGGTGCCCTTCCCTACGGATTCCTGGTATTTTCTTCATTGCCAATCATGGCCTATTTACAGTGGAATATCCGCGGCCTCAGGGGTAATCGGGGCGAGCTTCAGATGTCGCTTTCCAGGTTTTCCCCTGTTGGTGCTTGCTTACAAGAACCAAAATTACACTCAGCTGTTTTCCAACCTATCTCAGGCTATACAATGGACCCCGCTTTACGATCAGCTCCCAATGCGACCAATTATGTAAGTGTATTTATGTAAGTGCGTTTGTACGTGTATGTTTGGGGGTCTGAAATGGACTAATCTAATTCACAATATTCCTTATGGGAACAAATTCGTTCAGTACTGGCACCTGAACATACTTCTGGAATGAAATAATATCATAAACTGGGGGTCCACTGTAATTTATTGTATTCTTTGGATCCTTTCTCAGATGGGACCTTTAATGAAAGTGCCCTTCTTCTACGCAATGATATTCCGTACTGTCAACTATTTGTCCATACCTCGCTGCATTACACTGCAGCCCGTATCCACTTGAATAAGTGGTTTACAATATATTCTTTATATCTCTCTCTTTCTCGAGCATTTTCTATCCCAGATTTTGCCTTTCTTGTTTCATCCTTACCACCACCACTTCTGTTACTTGGTGATTTTAATGCCCACCATTTCCTCTGGGGGAGTGGTCTCATTGTGACTCACGTGGCATCCAGTTGGAGGCTTTTCTTGCCTCTCACCCCCTACATGTTTTAAATAGGGGTACTCCCACCCATTTTGATTCTCGTACTCATACTCTCTCTCGCATCGATCTATCAGTCTGCTCTTCCTCCACTGCACTAGACTTCACCTGGTCTGTTCTACCCGACTTATATGACAGCGATCATTTTCCAATCATTCT